GTAAGCAACGCTTGATCAATTCCCACGGAAGAAGAAATCAAGCATTTAACTTATCTTCCAACTCTTACATATAAAAAGAAAATTATGTTAAAAAATTTGTCGCATCTTCAAATAAAGAAAAAAATTTATTTTTAAAGTTCTTCACTAACATTCCTGTAATATTTTGCTTTAAACTTCGAATAAAAATCTATTCATACCTAATTTAAAGCAGTCTAATTCAGCAAGATTTCAAAAATTACGAAATGGTATTTTAAAAAACAGAATAGCCAAAATTTAATTTCAGCTTGCAATCACTCGTCGAGATTTATGTTTACAGTACACAGAGAGAGAGAGAGAGCGAGAGAAAAGTAAAACTTTCATTATTAAGTTCGACAATCACGATTAAATACAATGTATTCATCGATTAGAATCTACTCGACGCCGTGAGAAAAGAGAAAGGACTACTTTGGAGTTCAATGTCTAATTTGACAATAAAGAGTAACCGCCGGGGCATAGTAGTCGAGTATTTGAATCGATTCATTCTTGTGAGAAAGAAACCGGGTATCCGATGTCTGGTGTGATAAGATCACTATGTAACTCGTGTATCCGAATGGGTTTAATGGTTGTACGCTTGTACCAATGCTTGCCACCTTGAATGAGAGATAAGAAATAGTTGCTTGCTATACCCAACTGCTTGAAATAACTGATACGTTAAACGAGTGCTATTTAAGAAACTGAACATGTACTATGCACACTCGTGCTGTAAATCGATTATCATAATTTCCTCGTTCTTGGGAGAATTATTGTACGATAATTAATGGATAAAATGCGTTAAATATGGATATTATTGTGCTGTTCTTTATTCGAATAGCTCTAAATCGCTGGAGATTAGAATTATTCTGACAATGTATTGGAATAGCTCTAAATCTATGGAAATTAGAATTATTCTATTATTCTGTTAAATAGCTCTAAATCTCTGGAAATTAGAGTTATTCTATTACTCTACTGAAATAGCTCTGAATCTCTGGAAATTATCATTACTCTAATAATGTACTGGAATTAGCTCTAAATCTCTGGAAATTAGAATTACTCTATTAGTATATCAAATACCTTTAAATCTTTGGAAATTATAATTATGTTCTAAATCTCTATAAACTAAAATTATTCTGCTAATATATTAAAATAGCTCTCAATCTAAAAAAAAAAGAAACCACGAACAAGTGACAACAAAATTAAAAATATAGAATGCTTCCAAGGCTCTTTGCACAACGTTTCCTCGTCCAATTTGTCTATTTCCATCAACTATTTCCATTACCTAAATAATTATTTAACGATTGAAAAAAGAAAGAAAGAACTACCAAGTAGCTGCAGCGCGCCTTTCATCGTTACAAGCTCGAAGCAAGAGAAAGCAACCGAAATAATCCAACACAAAGTATTTATAACATATTTCCAGTATCAGCCGAGCGATTCTGTCGCTGCGATAAAACGCCCCACGGTATCCGAGACGGTTTCCACTGGAAAAATATCCGAACGAACGATTTCAATCCCCGGCCACTGCTGATTGAGGCATTCTCTTCTGGTGTCACTCTATCCGCTGTATCGCTAAGCACTCCTCCGCTTCCGGATATCCGCCATTTGTTTTCTGCCCGCGGAACGACGCCGGGGATTTGCAACATCTACGAATCATACGGCTGTATCCGTTACGTTGCTGAGAAATGTGTACACGTGAAACGCGCTGACAACGAATTGAAGGAAACACGGTGACCTGGGTGATAAAAGCTCCTCGACTGATAATCGCGGAAACGTTCCATTCATGCGTAGACGTTCTTTCTCTCTTTGTTTTGATGGAGTATTTTAGATGTTTGAAGTTGTTCAACAGGTTTGGTAGATTATCACGGTATCTATTGCGATAAATTATTAAGCTCGTTGTTGAAATTCTGTGGAAAGGATTTTTGCAGCTTTGAGGATGGAGAAATGAAAATTAGCTGAAGATCGTTGGTAATTTGTAACGACAATTATGGAGTTTCTTTAATATTTTGAAGCTTCGTTTTTTTTTGGTTCTACTGGACTTGTGAAATGTGACTGTGATTAGTTATTAGACTGCGGATTTTTATGCAAATTTATATTTTTGAGAGTATAGCAAAGAAAGCAGAACTTTGGTAAAAAATTATTTCACCTACCAGGTATTATAAAAAGCACCATAATTTGTATATTTTTTCATATTACGTGCACTCTGTGCAATTTTGTACCTTTAAGTTTCCTATAAATGCATAAAAATCCGCAGTCTAGTTATTATTTATCAATGTTCCGTCTAAAACAGCAACGTCATTTGCGAGTACTGAAAAATTTCAGGTCTGAAAATCGTAAAAAATATTAAGGGAAATTAATCGAATCGGCGGATTAAGTTATCAATGTCTCTCATGAAGTGATATAACGTACGAATATTTGAAAATCCTCCTTGAAATTTCACGTCACAATTAAGAAAAAGTATATTTGCTCTGAAATTTGGAAAAAAGTTTACTCGTATGGTAAAACACATGGAACAATGCCAACTTGCATTTCTACCTTTCTAATAACCGCGAATGAAATCGCTAATCACCAAGAGAAAAACAAAGTGTACAAACGAGAAACAGTTTTTGCTTCGTCGCTAAAGCTTTATTCTTCCTATCAGAAGAAAAATCAAGTAAAAATCGTATTTCCCCCACCGCTGGCACAACGAACCACGCGTGGGCGATAAGACGAATGGAACACGGTTAATTAGCGACGTTAATCACGGCCGATTAAAAGGGAGAAGCGTGTCGTTGAAACGGCTCTGTTTCGCGGGCCAAAGAAGGCGCAGTCTGAATTTCCTGCGCGGCACGTCACGGCTCGACAATCCATTAGTCATGTCAACCACGACGACAAAACTCGCGCGAGTTAAATAGCCGGTACACCTTGGCCCCGCGAAACCAGCAATTCACTGGCCGCCGCAGAAGGACGCGAAACTCGAGCATTGAAGTCTCCAAGTTTACGCAGTCGCTGCGCCGACATCCTTTCCGCTCGCACCCGGCATTTTCTCGTCCAAGTGAAACTCAATCTTTCTTATCATAGCCTTTTTTCCTTAAATTTTTGCACTCTGAGCGGTTTTCTTTTATCTTCCTTATTCTATCCTTTTTTTCTTCTCAACTTTTTGCACTCTAAGCATTTCTTAGAAATTTCATAAAAATATAACAGGCAAATTTTATAAATAGGTATAATTGAAAATTAAATTACGGTGTTATTTGTGAATTTTTGCAAAATTAATAAATTTATGAATTCTGCGGAAAGCAATGAAATCTTTACGCGAATAATTTGAAGTTTTATTAATGTAACAAGGTTATTATTGAAATTAACGTGCAGCTATTTAATTTCAGATTTAATGTGACATGTCGTGTTTAACATTTGAAGAAAAAGCATGCCATTTTAATGAATCGTCTCATTAATTACGTCTTGTTAACACGTAAGATTAATGACTTACAAAAGCAGATACTCCGCCGGCTGTTAATTCACAGAAAACAGCCAGTTTTGTTAAGTAACAAAACGATCTTTCTCATTTATTACTCCGTTTGTTATTTCTTCTTCTTTCATTCGTAAATATTAATTTATCGCTTTCGTTACAATTCTAACCAATTTATCTTCATGATAAACGTTTATACTCGAATTCAACACTTTCGCTTTTAGTTTGAAAATAAATCGTATAAAACAGAATTTAAACTTCCTGGCTAAAATACATTTTCTCACACGAACAACTTTAAACTTGAAGCGTAAACTTACTATTAATTATATAGTTACTCAATCGTGTCTTCCATTTTTCTTTCTTCCAATATTTCTCTGTGAAAATTCATCCTCAACTCGAATTAATACAACCGAAACACTTCCAACAGAACACCTTGCGACATATTGTAATCGTCTTTAACATAATTACTTTATACTTAACGATTAACCCCCAGCAAATCAACGCAGCTCAAATCATTACAACATTACAAAAAAAGAATTTTAAAAAATCTATACCAATCACAAAATACTTGTAACAGTTGATAATAACAATGAATTACTGAAACAATATTACCAACCAAAAAAACCAACTTTGTCTATTCATGCCGATAAATAACAAGCGTGATAAAATTTTCAAAATCCCTCTACTTGTTCCTTGAAGAAAAGAAATTAGCAAAAAATGTACCTACCCCTAATGCATTTTTATTAAGGCGGGTGCATCACCCTGAAACGTTTAAAAATAAGTAAAAGTTTGGGAATTTTTTTCGTAGGTAATTACTGAATGTGAAGCTTCAATTTTTTGAGAGGATATAAACGTAGCCCTCAGCTTTCTTCTGCAATTTTTAGAAAGTAGAAATGTTACAAAATGGAGAAGTTATTGGGAAACTTCTTCTGCTAGAACATTGATTGCTGACAGCCATCGCTGGTAAGGATTGAAAAGTCTGAAATAAAAAATTCTCTCCGATTTATAAATAACAATGCGAACAATGTTTTCGATATCTCAAATACTTAATTCTTTGGAAACGTTTAAACTTGATTTTTGGGCGAAAATAGAAATTATGGGCTAAATTGTAAATTACACATTTTCGTTTTTACAAATTAAAAAGAATTTTCTATTCCAGACGTTTTAATTTTCGCCAGCAATCGACGTTCTATCACAAAAAGAGCTTTCCTAACTCCTCCATTTTGCACCGCATTTACTTTCCAAAAGAATCCTAAAAATTATCTGAAAGTTACACTCAAACTCTCCAAAAAAGAAATTTCAACTTCTCATTTAACAATCACCTCCAAAAAAAAAAAAAAACATCCCAAACGTTCACCTATGTTTAAACGCCTCAAACTGGCGCACCCCCTGATTCAAACGTTGCAATAACCAATGTTTCAAGCAAAACTCTCCGCGCTCTTTACTACAATCGCGATCGTCGTCGGTACAAGCGAATTTTGAAAAAACGTGGAAACTGCCGGAAGCTCGCGGTCGGTTGTTCACGGTCGATGAAATAAGGTGTTACCTGTAAGTGTGGAGTTGTTAATGGTGTTGTTTGCCGTGGAAATGGCCGATTGGCTGGTGACAGGTGTGCCAACGGTGGTGGCCGTGGTTGTTGAGGAGTTATTTGGCGAGAGGGCCGCGTTGGCGGCCTGAGCCTGTGCCTGGGCCTGGGCCTGAGCCTGAGCCTGCTGTTGAAGATTATAATTCCACGCGAGCAGCATCAGCTTCAGCTTATCCGCGTCTTTCATGAGCGCGCCTGCCGAAATTAAAAGTGCCAATTGGTCTCAGGGCATGATTAACACGATGAATAGTGCCGATGTAAGGGTGAATCGGTTTTTGTTTTTTATTATTTTCTCGTGCCCACTTCCGGCCCGGTCCACGCCAGGCCAGAGGACTTGAGCTTGTTTTTTTTTTTGTCTGGTGGTGCTTTTGCATGTACATTTTACTTTGGGATTTGTCTGAAAATTGTCACGTTCGTGCTGGTACGATCGTTTGTGCTTGTTGGAGAATTGCAACGTGGTGATTATTTTTTTTTCATTACTGATGGTTTGGTCTGCGTTTCATATTGGATGTGATTTGGGTTGAGAATTTTTGCAAGTGTCTTTTTTACGTTCTACTGTGGAATATTTGTGATTCGTTTGTGCTGGGTATAGTATACACGATGATTTGCTGTTTTTGGGGTACTATTGAAAGTGATGTTATAATAATTCTCGTATAGTGTTTTGTGAATGAAGGCACGGTTTCTTTTTGTAGAATAATGTTCGTATGAGATACATCGAAAGGATTGTCAAGTATTGTTGCAAGGATAAATGTGACGGATATTTTTGAAGTGATAGAAATTTTAATTTAAAATTACAGTATTTTAAATGACTTTATTCTTGTGCAACGAAATAGAAATATGGTATTTTGTTTTTGGTACGAATGTTTCAAATTAAATAATATAAAATTAAAATTGAGTAATTACTGAAGTACTGTGTATTTATTTCAATGTAAAATTTCATATTTATTTCGTATCTTACAAACTATATTTCAACACTCAAATTTCCATATTGACACAGATATCTGCTTGAGAGTTCAAGAGTTTCTTCAATGCCAAGTGAATGAAGAGAAGATTAAAGAAGTAAATGGCAATGAAGTTTATTAATGAAATACTTGCAATAAAAACAGCTCAACTGCAGCTCTCTTTCATTTCGCGTATGTTTGATAACGTTTATCGAGAGTTACTTGAGTCTCGTAGCTCTTGTAAAAGATACAATTTCTTTTATACTACATTGCATGAATTTTAATGGAAGTTATTTCTTATCAAGCAGCTTACTTAATTCCTTTATATTTTATTCACTTTAATACTTTGCAATCTCTCGAAGGTTACAGTGCCTAAAAGCGAAACACTGTTTATACGTTTACCTAAAATGTCTCATTAATGTTTTTTACGCAAAATCTTACACTAGAAAATAAATTCACGTTCAGTACAGCAATTTAAAGATTTTCTCTAAAACACTTAAAAATTCGTGATATTACGAATTATATTTTGTAAATAAAAATGAACAATTTAAGAATTAATTAATTGCACCGAATGCACAAATGCACTGATTTTCAAATTTCACTTTCCTCAAAAATGAGTACTAATCTGAACAAAATTATTTTTACGTTTAAACAACGCGAATCGTCTTTTCATACTTATCGCAAACTCCAGTTTCAACAAATTTAGAATGAACATCGTCAGAAATTTTCGTTTTCTCGAAAAGAAAAAAATATCAACGGGACTTTCCTACGTATAAGTGTCACAAATCCCCTAATTCCACGTTAACGATAATTTTCCACGGTCTCTGCACAGGTGAGAATTCTTTAGCGGCGTCTACGACGATTGGCTTCTCGATCGATCGACGTTCCCGTCCCCTCGAACACTGTCTACGACGCAACAGGTCCAAACCATCGAAATTCTCCGGCATTCGGCGAATTCTCGAGCTCATTCGCAGGAAAATACAGCTACGTTAACAGTTTCGCCACTCATCGCGCACGACTGCCGCGTTTTCGAGATTTTTGGTCGATAGCGTCAACAGGTAATACACACACGCGTTCGTTTTCAATGCGGAACAAAGAACGACGAAGACGTTTGGCAAAATATTTTTCTTCGCTGAACAGAACGTACAATTCTAAGTAATTTCACAGTTGAAGCTTTATTCCATGGCGGCTCGATGGAGAAAATTGACGAAAACAGAGGATTCTTGAATTTGTTAGAAAATGTTAAGTTACGATTTTAAGGATTTTTATCGCGAATTTCGTACGAAGGCTTAAGGTGGGATTATTTTTCTGCTTTGTGCGAAGGCTAAGTAGCGAAGAACTGTTCCGTGAATTTTTCCTAAGTATTCTTTGACGAAAATTGAAAAAAAAGAACGCGAGACTGAAAGAATAAATGGAAAGTACTAAAATGAATGAAAGAATGGTACATTCTTCGTGAAATGAAAGCTTACTAATTTCTATGAGAAAGTACTGCTTTGAAGAATCATTAAGAGCAATTTAAAACGAAGAACGAAAACAGTGGAGAGATTGAAAAACAATATGTAACAAATGGCATTACGAACTTCTAAGACAGAATTAGATGAAAAATTAAAATGAATATTAAAAATTGACTGAAATCAACGTTCTTTGAAATCAAAGAGTAATTGCTGTATTAAGAAAGGAAAGTATGAAAATCCATGAAAATGTTCAAATTTCATAATTAGTGAATTGGAATGCAAAGCAAGAATTAATGCTTCACAGATTTACATTTTAACCGAGAAAGTGAAATTCTTTTAAATTCTTGAAATTCTGAAGTTTGAAATATTTAAATTCCTGAGAAATTCTGAATTTTCACATTTTTAAAATTGCTGAAATTCTGAATTTTCAATTGTTCAATTCTGAAATCTATAGTATTGGCTAAATTTCACTTCTTTATTGCAACCAATAAAACAAAACCAACAATCAGAATTTCCAAAAAACAACACATACTGCCTTCCTACGCTTCACCACTAAACCAACAGTACGTATAAAAAAAGATCAGCATCAAGCCTCGTCGATATTTCTCCATAATGAAACACTTCAACGTAACTTTGTAACTTCGTTCCCAACGCTCAGGTAAAACTCGTAATTCCCCCGTGACACGGAGCGACACAGTACAGAAATCCATATCGCGCTAGTATGCATAATTTCTCGCGCTCGTTTTACGTTCTCCCGCGAGCAATAATAACACTACTATAGAAGAAAAAGAAAGAAAGAAAAATCGAATATAATCGCGTTCCGATGGAAGCGTGACGCGGCAAGGAAATGCAGCAAGGGGCCGTGGTAAACGTGGCGCACAAGTGCGACAGTGAGTTCGTCAAGTGTCAATTAAAATCTCATGCCCGATGAGTACGAGCCCGTCTCGATCGTGCACGCGCCCAATTATCGATCTCATTCCGTCTCGTACTGTTAAAGACTCTCTCGTGTCCGAGGGCGGAAGGCGAACGTGCCCCGCAACAAGTTCCCGCCGGAGGATTTCTCGCGCAGGCAAGCCTATCGAACCAACCATGAAATTACTCTGCTCCGACGGTCGTGCCCGAGTAACAATCGATACCGAGTATCGAGCCTTGGGTGCTCGTATTACACGGCAGCCAATGAACGGCTGATAAAGTAGAGAAGAGTTAATTGTATTGGTTTACTTGTACTCTCTCGCTTCCTACTTTTTTTTTTTAGCGATATCGCAGGGGAAAAGGGTTGAATTGTTTGCATCTACAAAGGATTTGTTTGTTTTCTCGTAGAGGATTGGTGTAAATTTTCATTGATTTCAGCTTTATTTCAGGGAGTATAGCGATTAAAAAAATTATTCTTGAAGGAGAATTTTAAAAATTTAGTGGACAGTGTTTTGGGGTTTTATTCAGATTTTAGAATTTTTAGCACTTCTAAGGGGGGAAATTATAAATCCAAGTATATTAAAGCAATTCGAAATGAAAGCTTTTTATTTGCTATCGTTCACCTTCTCTGTTCCACGAAGTGAAATAGTTTTTTAAAAGATGTTAAATTAAAAATAAGAATCTTAAATTGTTGAAGTAATTTTAAATTTCCTACTGACTAATTAATGTGACACTGTAATTAATTGAAGATCGAGTATAACGAAAGTCCTGTACAGGAATTATCTCAAATTTGTAATTACATTTAAACGAAAAGCTGTCTTGAATGAGAGCATTGAAACAACAGATAGGAAGAAATCGCGAAATCAGAATTGAAAACAATTAAGCGAGGAGGATACACGAATGCAGATATAGATAATTGAGTAACGTCCAACGTGTTTTATTGTAATTAAACAGATTAAGTTGAAACGTGTTGAACATTTGAGAAGGTTATAAAGTTCATCGAAAAGAGTCTCCATATTTCGTGTATTAAACACTTGGTAATTACAATAATATACAATCGTGTAAATGTTTCAAACCCAATTACGTTTAATAAATCTGCCCGAAATGATATTAAATACGCGAATGTAAACTGGTTACACGTCTTTTGTTCCTTTAATGAAAAAAATCATCGCGCGTAGTCATAAGATTGAATGCAATTAACAGTACAATGAACTAATCGACAATTTTTTATTCGAAATGCGGAGACTTGAAATGTTACATTGTTTAAAGTTTCTAAAATGTCATATTATATATCTCGTTTCAATAGAAATAAATGAGAAAGATTTGATATTACTTCGCACGCTTTTTTTTTTCAGAAGCAGATTCATCGTGTATTTTTATCGATTCAGTGATACAAAAATTATTCACCGAGTTCGAACAAAAAGTAGATATTTCATTTTACGTAGCGATTGTACATTACATGTACAGTTTTATTTATTGCTTTTTACATTTTATGCGGTATTCGTTCGTGATTTGTTAGCAACTAGCTATTTCTTTTAACCTCCTACTATTTTCTGAAAATTGTATTACTATCTACTAAAAATGTATCACATCTACTAAAATATCACAGTAAATTCTAAAAATCGTCTAACACCTTGGAGCGCCTCAAAACAGCCTAATTAACACAAAAATGAAATTTGTCTTTTAGCTAATAGTGTCCAAAGTACATAGGCACTTTATCCTTAATTTGCTAAAAGAGTGACAAAACTCACGGATCCAATAATTCTGAGTCATCCACCAGGAGTAATTCTAAAAGTGAGCAATTCTTATCCGAAAGAGCGTAACTAAAACTAAAACAAAAATTACACTATCTGACGAAAATACTATTCCAATTAAAAATACAGCTGAC